GGCCAGATGGAATGTTTATTTGTTGGATGCTTTTCTACATCTTTTAATTGTGTGACCAGGCCAGAGGGTTGAGCTACTGAAAACAAAACAAAACAAAAAAAGCCTGCCTAGTGTGGTCAATAACCTACAGGAGTTCCAGAAGTGGGGAAAAGTCTGAAATCCTGCACCCAGCTTCAATGAGGCACTCAAGAGGTAAGGGCCCCAACAAGCTCTTTAAGAAAAAACTGCATCACCTTGATGAACATGGAATGATGTCTGAGAGTATACTAAGCACTGGTAATGGCAATAAGAGAGAAACAAACAATAAATATTTCATTCTGAATTGCAGAGAGAGTTGAATACAATTTCTCTTTATATGCACTTGACAAGGCTGTGCTAACCATACAGTCAGTTTTCTTGCTGCTGAAAGAGTCCAGATTCTATGCACTTTAAATACAAGCTTTTTATAGAAGATGAGTTAATAAGATTGGGAGAAGAAAATTCCCAAAATATCTGCTTGTCCTACATTCCTGCAGCTGCACCACCTCTCACTTCTTACATAGCAAGAATACACATCCAAAATACCAAATTTTGTAGCAGTTTGGAAAATATTTCTGAATACTTAAAGGTTATCATGGTTTTACATCAGATATAGTTTAATTGATGTAACTCCACTGTCAGTGTCCTTTTTTTCAGATTAATCTGATTTTTTTAATTACATAAATGCATTAGGATGACCAGACACTAAAAAATACACAGATAAATGTGGAGCTGGTTGAATTTTATTAATTAAATACTATAAGGTCCAAATCACGGGTAATACCAATCAAAGAATCAAAAATGAGATTTAGCCTCAGTATTGAAATTTGAATTATATATAACCTAAAGTGATGGTTAATAGCAATGCATATGAATATCTGTAGTTTATTTATAATAAACTACCAAGACAATGTTATTGACAGGTCTGGTTAGAGGAGTCATGGATATAGCATAACAACACTTGTTTAATATTAATTTGTGTTAATTAACTCAAATAAAGTCAGAGCTCAACACTGTGTCACCTATTTGTTTTTACGTCAGGCATAGTTAATGGGTATAATTGTTCCAGTTATAAGTTAATACATGGCACTTTCTAGGCAAATCTACTATTTTACTGAGGTAAAAAATTACAACAATATTGAAAGAACACAGTAGAGTGTTAATATGGGTTCTTGCCAGATCAAACCTTCAACACTCCACCTCTGGGCTTCTTTATGGGTCGCTAGATCCTCAGCCTCAGCTGACAAGTAGCATCTAGTTCTTCTTATCCTAGGGTGTGTCTAGACTACATGCCTCCTTCGACGGAGGCATGTAGATTAGCCAGATCGGACAACAATATTGAAAGAACACAGTAGAGTGTTAATATGGGTTCTTGCCAGATCAAACCTTCAACACTCCACCTCTGGGCTTCTTTATGGGTCGCTAGATCCTCAGCCTCAGCTGACAAGTAGCATCTAGTTCTTCTTATCCTAGGGTGTGTCTAGACTACATGCCTCCTTCGACGGAGGCATGTAGATTAGCCAGATCGGAAAAGGGAAATGAAGCCGCGATTAAAATAATCGCGGCTTCATTTAAATTTAAATGGCTGGGGCCCGCCCC